CCATAAAATCCCATAAAATTCCCTCTATCCCAGGAACTGCTGTGGGATAACGGGGTGCTGGAATTTTCCAAGGAGCTGCCTTGTGGAGCAGCGATCTCCAGGCTGGATTTTCCTCCATTCCCTCCCCTTCTGCTGACTCCAGCCAGCCCCAATTCCCTGGAGGAGCCTCAATTCCGACACAGATAATCCATAAATGACCCCAAAACCTCATAAGGATGGGAAGCACAGCCAAGGAAAACAACTCCCAAAGATCCCAAAATTGCTTCTCCAGCCTGTCCCCATTGCCACCGGCAGGGCCAGGCTGGCTCTGGTTGGGTTGGGAATTTTTACCAGAGGGGAACGTGCTCAGCCCATCCCAACTTTCCCAGGATAAACACAGGACAGATCCAATTCCCTGGAACTTCCCACAAATCCCTCCAGGAGCACAAGGAACAGCAAACAACCGGGATAAAAAAGGAAAAGCCCGTGGGGATGTGGCCAGAGGGACGAGCACGGAGTGTCCCCAAGGCTGGATTAACAGTCCAGACTCGCAGGGAATTTTTGCAATCCTGTTTTACCTCTGGGTTTCTTTTTAACCAAGAAATCCCCAAAAAAAACCCCTCTGGAAGTCCCTCTTGAGCAGGGGTCCAGTGGGATTAACAGAATCAGGAATTTCTGGTTTTGTTTGTAGCTCCTACAGACAATTCCTTATTCCAGGTTTCCCAAAAAAATGTCCATGTAGGACAGTCCCAGCCACAATATCCCAAAAAGCCCTGCCAGGTTCAGCTCCTGCCTTTCCCACCTTTAGAACCTCATGGTGCTGTCTCTCCAAATCCATGGATTCCAAGGATAAGGTGCAGCTCCTGGGCTGGAGGAGCTCCAAGGCTTCCAAGGATCCATTTCCACATTGGTGGCTCCATCTCCCAACCGCCCTTGATGAGCCAGAGATTCCCAGAATTGTTTGGGTTGGAGGGGCAGCTTGAAGATCCTGGAATTCACTCACCAGGGGTTTGTGCTGGGGCCAGCTCTGCTCAATGCCATTATTGATGACATGGATGAGGGATTGAGGCTGTCATCAATAAATCTGCAGGTGACACCGAGCTGGGAGCTGTGCCCGTCTGTGGGAAGGCGGGAGGGCTCTGCAGGGAGACCTGGAATGGTTGGAGGGATGGACAGAGTCTAAAAAGGTGAAGTTTGATAAGTCCAAGGGCCCCATCCTGCATTTTGTATAATGATTGTAAGGGCTCTACCACAACGGCCTCCGTTTGGAGCTCAGTGATCTGTGCTTTCACAGAATCACAGAA